AAAAAAAAAAAAAAAAAAAAAAAAAAAAAAAAAGAATTGGAGACTGGAATGATCCGAGAAATGAATGGGAGACAGAAGTGGGCCCAAAGACGGCTGACTATTCGTTCATAAAATGTGACAATGAATAGACAGTGAAAGATAGAGGGGATGGCTTGAGGAAGAAGAAACTTGGAAAATTTTTTAACAAGTAGAGATGACTTGGCCACATTTATCTACCAGGGACAGAAAGAGACGGAAGAGGCCAGAGAGGGCGTGCTGCTGCTCCTCTGCCTGCAGGTGCTCTGTGTCAGTATCACATTCCCTCCCGTTTCCCCGCCAGCTGCTGGATGGTTTCTCTCACTTCACTCTCCCTCTGATTAACCAGTCTCTGCTTCCGTCACCTGCCAGTCTCCCAGCAGACATCAGAGATTCCTTGTGAGGATGAGATGGAAAGGTCCCCTCACTCATTCAGTGGGGATTGGTGGCATGGGCTCCATCTTTAATGGTCCTGTCTCCCAAAGCACCTCCCCACTCGGCCCAGCCTTTCACACACTTGGCTGGCTGAGAGGGTCTGGGCTCCAAGCCACCCAGGCTGGCCTCTTTTGTTCCTGATAAAATGCAATCATCACAACAAGGTCCTGGCAAGATCCCCAGGAAGCTGCGGTCCTGGGTGCTGCTTGGGCAGGGTGGGGGTGGGGGGATTCTGTGGGGCAGGAGGAAGCCATGGGAACCTGGTCCCTCTCTGAGATCACTCCTTTTCCTAAGTGACTCTGGGGTCAGCTGGATGCTGTGGGGTTTTCTCTGAGGAAACAGTCTCATCAGTCCCTCCAAGTAGAGAGAGCAGTGAATATAAGAGAAGCCAGAAGAGGGCAGGGCAAGACAGTATCCCACGTGGGGTCATCCTCCCAAAGCTCTCTCTTCCTTCAGGCCTTCTCTCCTCTCTCTCAACTGATCCAGCTGCTTCCCTGGTTTCTCCCTGCATCCCAGCCCAGCCCCAACCTACCTCCAGAGTTCTTTCTACCCTGCAAATCTGATCACAGCACACTCCTGCTTTATGGAATTCCAAAGCTCCCACCTCCTCCATGGTAAAATCCTTCACCCTATCCTTGAGACAGGCCAGGCTTTTTCCGGTTTGACCCCTGCCCACCCCTGGCTCCACTGATGATTCCTCACTGCTCATTCATTCATTTGTGCCTTTGACAAATGTTTTTTCAGGGCCTACTCCAGCTAGTGCTGTGCTGGGACCTGCTGGGAACCCCAGGCCCTGGCCTGTGCACACTTCTCACCTTCCCAAACACACTGCCTTTTAGGTCCTCGACGCCTCTCACATGCTCTTTCCTCAGCCTTCAAAGGCTCCCCCGGGAGACATCCCCTGGGTCTGCCTTTCAGCTAACCACTCTTCCTGTAAGCTCCACAGCCCTCTTACAATTTATTTTCATTGATATTATCTATATATTGTGTTAATCTATGTTTTGAATAAGTAACAGTCTTGGTTCCATTTCAGTAAACCTTGAACAGGCATGAAATTCCGTGCACCCTTCCAGGTGCTTGCTTTATTCTCTCTTATCATGTGGGGGAGGCCCACAAGATAGGATTTTGTTTGGATGTCTGTTTCCAGTCCTGAAAGCCAGAGAGCCCTTGCTCTTCACCGCTGGATCACGTGAGGTGAATGAAGGATGCTCAGGACTGATAGCAGCACGAAATGAACGTGCTAGAGAGGTTGTGAGGGACTGCGCCAGTGGCCTGAAAGGAAACCCATGTGGTCCCCAGGTGCTCCTCCACGCACAAGTCGGCCAGAGTGATCTTCCTGCCACCCCCTGCATCAGGTTGCTCTCCAGCAAAGTTTGTACATGGTTCCTTTCCACTGACCTTATTAGGAGCCAGGCAGTGTGAAATAAGGAAGGGGCCAGTTGTGCCATGTACTAACCATTGGCATCTGGCCATTTTGTCTCTCTTAACCTCAGGCTCTCCATTTTTAACTCAGATATAACAATATGGGTCCTGTGTGTCTCACAGGGTTGCAGTGAGTAGAAGAGGAAGGTGTGTTGGCACTCAGGGACCTGCAAATCCCATTGAAATGTGA